GGTCCCATTGAAAAGCACCCAGTGGGGGGGAGGGCTTGGCGCCCGGGTCCTTTCTCCTCCCTCCTGGGACTGGGACTGTGGATTGTTTTGGTTTGGGCAGGAAGGACCCCTGCAGGGAGCCGTGGGTTGCTGCTCGGCAGGGTCAGCCCAGCCCGGGACAGCAGCCAGGAGGGCTGGGAGCCTGGTGGCGGGAAGGCCCGGGGCATGACGTGTGGGTGGCCCTGGCAGGGACCGGGAAGGCCCCATCTCCTCCCTGCAGAGCGGGCCCTGGGCGGTCCCATCCCCGCGCCTGGGTGACAGCTCCCGCTTCCCACCCCCTGGGACAGTCGGCTGTTAGTGAGCAGCTCAGCGGCTGCCCAGGCAGGTGAGGCTGGCCCCTGAGGCCTCCTCGGAGGCCAGGAGATGGGTGCAAGCGCCTCAGCTGGGGGATGAGGGTCTGAGCCCGACAGAGGGGAGGACCTGGGGGCGGCGGGGTGGGAGGTGCCTGAAAGGAGCCTCAAAGACCAGAAAGACTCTTTGCATGACATGGAGGACACCCACCGCCACCAGGGAAAATAGATGGAGTGGACTCCAGGGATCCAAGGCTCTTCTCCCTCAAAGGACATTTATAGTGAGTCAAAAGACAACATCCAGAAGGGAGAAAAGGTCTGCCATTCCTACCACCGACGTGGGTCCACAGCCAGAATATATAAAGAGCTCTCACAACTCAATAATAAAAACAGGAAGAGCCCAGTGGTGAATGGGCAAAAAATTTGAATGGACAGTTCCCCCAAGAAGAGCCACAAACAGCCAAGGACAGGGAACAAGAATGATCCATTGGGGAAACATCAGAACGACCAGGTGAGCTGGGCATGGTGGTGCACGCCTGCAATTCCAGTGGCTCAGGAGGCCAAGGCAGGAGGATGGCAAGTTCGAGGCCAGCCTCAACAACTCAGTGAGACCCTATCTCAAAATAAAAATAAAGTTAAATTTTTTTAAACAGGGGCTGGGGATGTAGGGATGTAGGGATGTGGCTCCGTGGTTGCAGAGTGCGGAGGAGGCCCTGGGCTGAGTCACCAGCACTAAAAACCAAACGTCACACAGAACCATCACACCCACCAGGACGGCCCGGATTAAAAAAAAAAAAAAA